ATTTTTTTTTTAAAATCTTGCCACCTAAAAGATGTGTGGATTTCACCCCCCAAAATCCCCCAGCCAGTATCATGAAGTTGCCAAGATTCTGGCTGGGGAATTCTGGGAGTTGAAGTCCACACATCTTAAAGTTGCCAAGTTTGAAAAACACTGATGTGAACTCTCAGAAAGAATTGAACCCTAGGGTGAGAGAACACTGAATAAGCTCAGTAAGATGCGTAAGTCACAGTCAGATCAAACTTTTTTGAAGAAGATGGTCCTTGCCATGCAGTGACAAAAGGAACTAAAAAAACATGTTGGAACAAGCAATGAACTGGGCCCGTTCCAAAACTGGAAACAAAGGAGACAAACCTGGTCCCTTGGCAGCATAGGAGAAAACTGTTTATGCATGCTGTAATCACTTCCATCTCCTCTGAGGAAAATGTTTTGACGGTATGAACTATCAACTTGAGCAGTCTAAGATCATGATGTCAAATGCAGAACTGATCTCTAGTGAGAAGGACTGGATGATACAGTACAAATATGCACAATTTTCCAACTGAAGGAAAGGTAGGTCAGAAACTAAGTTTGCTGCTGCCACCACGGCATGATCAGAGTACAGCTGTAAGAACTTGCACTAGCTTGTTCAGCACTCTTGTCAGCAAAAGAAGCACAGGAAAGAAGTAGAGTCCTGCTCCCAAAAGAAGTGATGCATCTCCCAGAGAACCCATGCTGTGATCTGCTCTGCTTCTAAATCGTAGACATTTCCCAGCATCCCAGGATGCTGGAACATCCTCAGATGGATCATGGCAAAGGAGATAAGAGACATTGTGGGTTCCTGTGTAACGATGTCCTAGTAGTTGGTGAACAATGAGAAGCACAATGGATGAATAATGCTAGACATTACTGATCAACCTAGTAATGTGTCTAGGACTGCTCCAATAAATGGTAAAATTTGGGAAGACTGAAGTTACAACCTGCAAAAAATCACCAAGAGGCCCCCAACTTCTGAAATGAAGTAAAAGTCTGGGACACATGGCCCTGAAAGATAAACTGAATTTAAACCACAAAGAGTGAGTCACTGTTGTGGGATGTTTGTGGATAACCACTGCCATATGCTTAGGATAGATTCATGAGGCCAAAGAATAGTATTGAATAGAGAATTCAATCTACTGCAAAGCATTAGAACTGATCTGATGGAGATGTGGAAAAATATATTTTACTCCTCACAGAAGTAGAGGTAAAATGTTGACCAGAGTGACTTTATGAAATGTCTTGGCCCTGATAAATAGGTTTAGGTTGCAGAGATCCAGGGCAGGATCTTTATCCTTTATCCCTTTAACCTTCTTCTCAACCAAGAAATTTCAGGAACAGTATAATTGCTCCTTTCTGCATGGGTTCCTGAATTTCCAAGGAAATGAGGGGTAGGTGAATTATTTCCACTTGTAGTTGAGTCCTGAACTCAGTGGCATAGTACATATGTCCTATGATCATACACAGAAGTTCATAGTAGTACTTTCCTAAACTGACAAATGTGTAGTAAACATCACAAGCCTAGGAGAAACAATCATATTTAAAATGATTGTCTGATTGTCATCTTGGCACCTTTTAGATGTTGGTCAGTATCATCTGTGTGGCTTGGTTGTCTCCCATATCAAGGTGTATAACAAGAGAGCCTTAAAGGGGAGCAAGGCCTGGATTAAGGATAATCCCTTTGAGCACAGATTGAAAGGACATTAATCTTGTTGTTGCTGCTGCTGTCATCCATCTGCCCACTGAAGAGGCCCTCCCCATCAAAGAGAAGGTTCTCAGTACAATTCCTAGTGAGAAAGTCTTCCTGAGAAAGACTAACAGATTGCAGCCAACCAAGTACAATGAAAAGAACCATTAATAATCTTGCAGTCAGTTTGGTACTTCATAGTATGGAGCCGCCACTTGGACACAACATAACCTTCAGAAGAAAATAATTTTGATGCCCTTTGCTTATCCTGTGGGAGATGACAGAACAGTAAGGCTGTTGTCTCTTATAGGAAACACTGATGTTAGCTAGATAAGCCTGATGGATGGAGACCCAAAAAGGCAAGGCTGCTGTGGAATAGTTCTGTGGTCACAGTATCAGGTTTCTTTCCCTCATGACCCAGAAGTCTTTCACTTGGACTGAAATGAATTTGAAGCTGAATGCTTAAATAAAATGTGCAGTTTTCCCCCCAATTCTGTATCAGTTCTCTACTTTGTGCAACTTCAGTGGAATAGAAATTAACCAATGTCATGTGCTCTTTGCAGACTACAACAGAAATGGCAAGACAGGTATGACAAGTCAGCACCCAGAGTCATCTGGAATCAGGTTTTTTTTTTAAATCCATGTAAATAAATAAATATAAACCAGGAGCCTAAGCATCTGCATGCATCAGATGGAATATTAGATCATCCATACCCTTTGAGTGAATAATCTCCATATCTAATGACTTGGATAATTGCAATATAATGAAATTTGTTTTCTAACCTCAATGTGATGGACTAATTGCCTACATTCAGGTGCACTGTGACTAGGGTTGCTTGTTCTGAGAGGGAAGAAGATGAGTTGGAATGTCAATATCCAACTTCAAACAAGCTTGGGTCACCACTTCCATTAATGGTGGAAGATGGGGCTGGATAGAAAACTATGGAGCCTTAGCTGGCATGTTGCAAGAAAGGAGTTTGATGCTCCAGGCTGCGCTGCTTGATTAGTATCAAACAAAGATAGCAGTGTTGTTTGCTAAATAAGCTGCTGCACCTCCAATATAGAAGGTGGTCCAGATGACTTTAATAACATGAGGAGGGAATGGAGACAATTATTACAAATTATGTTGTACCATATGAAATGAACCCCATGAGATGGGCATTCTGACAACGGAGACAAAGAATATCTATCATCGCCAGACTTGGTATGATTGAGAAAGTTTACAAATATACTAAATTAATAAATATAAAATAAATGAAAATATTGACTGTGGTACTGATTGACCCAATCCAGAGAATATGAGCTAAAGAAGCCCCTAAAGGTAAGAGAAGCAGAAGAAATCTGATCTTTATCTTGAGGAGAAGTGGGATAGGACAATGAAATTGGATCCTTCAGGCTAGGTAGTCAAGGCTAGGTAGTCAACTATCTCCTCTACAGAAGCAGAATTTCTCAGTTTATGATCCCTGAGTAGAAGCTGATGAAATATTTCTTGCATACTTGTAATCTCTGGTGATGGGATTGAGCTACTAAGATGAAAATGAATGAAGGAGAGAAGACTGTAGGATATTTTCTTCTTTAATGGTTTCTTGACCTTAGAAGATTTTGAAGATCTCAGAGTTAATAAAAACTGGGATTTTCAGCAAATCTAACTGGAGACAGTCCTAAAAATTATCAAGTGAAGTCTATGAAGGGACAAATTCATATCATTTGTGGAATGTAAAGTATTTTGTGTATAGTTTCATTATCAAGTGGCATACCTAATCGAGTTGCATATTTCAATACTTTTCAAAAAATAAAAAATACAGCCATTGCAGTTTTCTATTTTTACCTTTGGGTAATGCTGTATCTTGAACAGGATACTTTTCTATCTGTTCAGACAAAAAGGAGAAGCAATAGAATTGTTTAGATACGTTTTGACACACCAATTATTTTGACCTGTTAAGTTCTTAGTTCTGCTGAATTTGCAACCTTTCAAGCCAAACAGTCTCCCAGCTGTTCACTGAGCTTGCCAGGTATTCAACAATTAATCTACATTATTTCTCCAGTCCCAAGCAGGAATAAGGAATCAATGGAGATTTATCAAGCCCCTTATCAGAAAGCTTTAAGAATACAAGCAAAAATTATGAAAGACTTGGTTTGGGCCTGCCGGTAAAAATGGCAATCTCATGTCAAATCCTCCTCCCATAATTTGATTCAGAAAATTTTCACTGAATGGTTTCCAAAACTTTCATCCAATAAGGTTTTGAAGCAAATACTTTTTAAGAAAAAAAAATCCTTGAGGAGCAACTTCATTAAGGATTCATGACACTGATGGAAATACTTTGTTGTACACCACCCAGAGTCACTTGATTTTGAGGACAGCCATATAAATATGAATAAAAATAAATAAATAAACAAACCCACTACAGGGGTTCTCAAACGAATCTTGCATGACTCCAACTGCATCTCTCACCACTGAGTTTTCTGGTTACAACTCTTTTTTCCCCACACAAACCAATGGAAAAGATATACAGAAAGGGAAGTCCTCATTTGTCCATCTCTGAACCAACAGTATGGTCAAGTATGAATCCTTGATTAGTTATTAGTCATTTTCCTTCCTCATTACAGAGATTACCTGTGGTTTCATCAAAAGTAACTGTATTACATATAAGAAGCAGGCACTAGCACACTCTCACTTTTTATATAGATGTATGTAACTGGATGAAATAGGCATTAATTTTTCATTACAGCCCTTTCTTATTATTATAAAACTGTCAGAATTCTATTTATTTATTTTATTTATAAATTAAATGTATACGCCACCCATCTCATTATATAAGTGACTCTAGGTGGCTCACAAATAAAAAACATCAGAACAGTAAAAATTACAAAACAAAGTTAAAAGACCGAGAGAGCATCCTCAGGTCACCAGCCACCCCCAGTGCTGGGAGCTCCCATTGGATCCCCAAGCTAGTTGGCAGAGCCAGGTCTTAATGCTCTTCCAGAAGGCTTTTCTATAGCTTTTAGAAGCCTGAAACTCAGAAGTAACTAACTAAATATCCTCTCCCCCAGTGCTATGTGCCCTAGTAAAGATGATATTTGTGTGGCAAACTAATAAAATATTTGTGAAGACCACAAAGGAAATAATTGGGAGGTCATGTCCCTAGACTTGTCTCAGATCATGTATCTTGTCTTGTAACATCTTAATTATTGAACTTTTCTGGGAGTATTAAATATTATGTAATAGTAGCCAACAAGTAAAATAAGTAAATTAATTACTTAGTAAAAGTCCTTTGAATCAGTCTCAGCTTCTGATAACTTCATGGACATATCCATGTAGTTTTCTTTTCAACATTAAAAAAAAAAAATTGCCAGCACCTTCTTTCCACTGTAACCTACAATCCTTGAATTTCCTGGTGATCCTCATCCAAATGTTAATCACTCCCACTCTGCTTAGCTTTTCAAAATTAGTCAAGATCAGTTAGGTAGAACCACTTAGCTGGGCAACTAACCACTTGCACTTCAACAAATTCACAAAACTACTTACATTTTCTGAGGATAAAGTGCTAGGGTCAGTGTCTTCTACTGGCTCCTTAGTTGCCTGAACTGCTGGAAACAAGCCAAAAAGAGGCTTAGGTTTACAATCATCAACATTTTAGAGATATTTTTTCATCCCTACTTTAATTGCCTGACAGATATTTATCTATCTTTACTTTAATTGCTTGATAATTATA